AAACACCAACATGCGTTAGTGTTTGCTTTTAGGCCCTAACTTTTTCCCCCCCCCCCCCCCGCTCTCCTTTGGAAGCATTCTGAAACACTTTGAACCTTAAATCAAACTCCCATTGTGTGACCTCTTTAACTCCTGCTGACTACCTGACCCTAGAGAAAGAAGGGAAAGTGGAATTATGCACTGCAGTCCATGAACACAGCTGTAGACATCAGTACCAAAAAGGCAGGGCTGGGGGGGGAAGGAAAAAGAAAGAGCTCAAAAAAAAAAAAAAACCTCTCGCCAAACAAGAAAGATGCAAAGCATTTGCTACAGCTCTATTACTGCCTCCCTCATCAGCCACAATAATGAAATGAATGACTTGAAAAACCTTTCTAAAAAATCCCTTTTTTTTTTTAAGCTCTGAATGAAAAAAAAATAAACTCCCCACCTGTACTTTATGTTTTCTTGTTTGTTTAAAGGCCATATTCCCAAGGTTTGTAGATGAGCATATCTGCATATCAGGAGCCACAAAACTGTGCAGAGGCGCACTGAAATGTAGTCTGTACAATTGGAATTGCTACATATGCACAAATACACAGAGGACCTCTTTGGGAAACTATGGCAACCACTAGTCCACCAAGTTGCAATTCCCCCTTTGTCCCTACCTTTCTTTGCTCTTCTAGTCCTTCCCGACTTGGACAAGCAAAAGAATAAACAGAAGTATTAATGAGGTCGGGATTGGACCTGCAACAAAGAAGCTGGAAAAGCAAAGAGACCTACTCACAAGCTTGAATCTGGAAATATTCTAAAGGAAACAAACTTTTCAGTAGAGCTGTATAACAGTGATGAATGGGATATAGGCAGCATGAGCCCGGGATACAAAGTCTTGCCTAGGAAACCGGGGTTAGAGTGCCCACAGTGCCATTGAATCATTTGCTGGAGCACTGTCACAACTGACCTTTAATTTGGATGCCTCACGTCTTTTTGTCCAGCTGAGATACTTAAGGCCTGATTTTCAGAACTGCTGAGCAACCCCAGTTCCCAGTCATTTTCTCACTGGAATACTGCACTGACCAAACATTTGGAAATTGCTCGTAAGTATTTAAAAATAGCAAGGCTACTATCCAAGTATCAAACTACATGTACCTCTTTTTCTATCCTAAATCAAACTTAGAAAGCCTCTCGGGCCCTTTTTGAGGATTATTGATGCTTATGAAGTCCTCTGGCATCCTCAAATGGAGAGCCTGGTAGAACTGCAAAACATTCCCTCTTTTCATGTTTATATTTAGCCTCAGGGAGAAGGGCCTCCTCATGTAATGTAATGTATATTGACATTTAGACCAAAAATGCCATGGACCGATATTAAAAAACAGTAGAATTTTTCACTTCATACAAGTCTGAAATATGTTTTTTGCATAATGTTTTCAAATGGCATTTGCACAGAACTTTGTGCTGTAACAACGGGTCTTTTCTCTTTCAGTTCTGTACCACATTTAACTTCCCCTCTTGATCAATGTATTACAAGAAAGTCAACTCCAAAACAAAAGGAATTATACTTCATTACTGATTGCAGAGAAAGATTATTAACCAAAGATAGCTTTTTCCCCTTGTGAACCTGGGAAAACGCTACCTGTCTTTTCTATATAGGGAATATCAATTTGTATTTCTGAAATCATACGTTGTCAAATATATACATGTGTAAACATACATACACATCTGTCTTTTCACTCTCTTGAAATCTAAATTATGTAAAAGAGAAACTCAAATGGCTGCATTCCAATTGTACTGAAGACCTCTCACCTTCCTTTCATCTCCACTTTTCAGTCACTTAAATCTGATTTCTTTCTAATCTTCTCTGAAGTCTTAGACAGCAACAGATTCAGTATGAAGATCCCTATAGATCCCTATAGACAAGTTTATGTGCGCACTGAGAGAAGAAAAGCAAAACCCTGTCTGCCAAGTCCACCTATCCAGCTTTAAAGCCACTACTGGACATGCAGAATCCCTTTAAACCAGAGAAAGAGACTGACTTATCTTCCAGCCCTTTTTTAATGCGCCATCGGGCAGTTCATAGTGTTTCCACACAGTTCATGCTTTTTTTTCCCCCAGCTTCTTGATGGGACACATGCCAAGATGCTGGAGACTCCCTGCTCCTCTGAGGTGAGGACATCGCCATGCATTCTAGTTACCACTACTCTCATGCACTGCCAGCTGCTGTTGCTCCTGCTGGTTTTTTTTGTTTGTTTTAATTAAATTTTACCATTCAAAAATATTATTTAGCACATGCTTTAAAGAAATCCTGCCTCACTCCTCTGACAGCCAATTGGTGTTGATGGCAAGGAGCAGTTCTCCCACCACAGCTGCCTTAGTTTAATCCAGAGAAGAATACCGATAGTGCAGAATCAAGGCAAAATAAATTCTTTTGGGAGGTGCATTGCTCTCAAGGTTTAATCCCAGTTCTGACCTGCATTTTGTTAGTAGTTGGAGGCAAACTGCTCAGACATCTTTTGCACATGAGAAGACACTTACAAACCATAGTATTTTGAGGCAGCAAGGAGCCTGAAGTGCAGTGATCTGCTTTTATTATTGTATTGATATATCAATACTGTAATTATGAAACTTAATTTGGTTTCTCCCTGTCCTCAGTCTGTCTCCATACCATTTTCTATTCTATTCTATTTCCTCTCATCTCTGCATTTCCTGTTAAATGCATGCAGCCTCCACAAAATGACACCATGCCTCACAGCCTTTGGAACAAGAATATTGTGGAAATGAAAGAGCATTTAGAAAAAGAGACTTAGCTTCTAAGTTTACTTTTGCTATCAGCCTTACTTCTTTTAAATCACTGTACATCATTTGTATCAACTGACCTGATTAAGCCCAAGAATGCATCCATGGAGGACAGCTGACAGCAAATCCTCTAAGACAGAGGGGACCGAGCTACCGCTACTGCCCCATGTGCGACTCTCTGAGTAGTAGTTTGAGAAAGGATCCTGTGCCAGGGTTACTTTATGCCAATGGCAGAGCTATGCTGGGGATTATTTGCATTCCCAGTTACAGGGGAAAATGAACCAGCAGATCCTACTGAGATGCAGAATTCAATCCCCTTGCATTTGCAGCCCAGATCTTTCCCCAAAACAGAGCACAAATGGCCTGATATCACCCTGAGCCTTTTTTCCTGCCCCTGGACTCTCAGGACACACTGTAGGTGTTCAGTGTTTCTTGGCCACCTAGAAGATCTGGTGTGTGTGTTGGAAAGTCAGATAGGCTGGCCACCCTGCTGTAGTCCTTCCCCATATGATAGCAGTTACTCTCACCTCAGCAGAAGACTCCAGAGCAGCAATGGAGATTTTATTAGACAGTCCCAAATCTACAGTAGTAGATGGAATTACAAGACCTTTCAATAATTAAAAGTATAAGCAACTAAAGCAGATTACACAGAACTACACCTAAAATTCTTCCCAAGTCTTGCTGTTAGCTGGTAGCACTGAGTATTTTTGCTAAGGAAATGGCAGTCACTGGTGGCCCTGAAGGCACTTGTTTGAATCTAAGAAAGGAACTAATTTGCTGCAGATCTACTAAAAATCTCTCTAAACAACAACAGTCAAGAAACAAACTGAACAGCTCAGCAATCGCTGGCCATTAAAATCATTGCCAGGTTCCTTTGCTAGTACCAATTGCGAATAAGAAAGCTTCCTTCCTATGCTTGCAGTTCAAACATCCAAAGCCTAAATAGGCACATCAGTGATTAAAAACTAGAATGCCAGATCCAGGCAGGCTGAGTGAGAACAGATCCAGACTATGTGAACGTGCCTCCAAAATCTCTGGTTCAAAAAGGAATTAAATGAAGGATGGGAAAACAGAAACCAAACTTGAGCAGCTGGCTCAGGGAACTGCCTTTCCCTCTTTCAGTACACAGCAGTGCAAACCTACCTAGCCCTCATCTGCTGCACAGCACCTCACTTGGACATTTTCTAAAGGCAACAATACTCTACACTGGCATTTACACAGAGAAATGCCAGCTCTAACGTTGGGCTCTATATAATTAAGCTGATATAAGAAACAGTGTTCCAAAAGGATAGGACAGTGTTAATCAGGTAGAAGCCTAAGCACTGTTTCCAAAGCCATTAAGGCTAGCCCTCATCTGCTGCACAGCACCTCACTTGGACATTTTCTAAAGGCAGCAATACTCTACACTGGCATTTACACAGAGAAATGCCAGCTCTAACGTTGGGCTCTATATAATTAAGCTGATATAAGAAACAGTGTTCCAAAAGGATAGGACAGTGTTAATCAGGTAGAAGCCTAAGCACTGTTTCCAAAGCCATTAAGAACATATTTCTTGCCTTCTGACTTAAGTAGTATATTAAGGGTCTATGCTGTTTTGTTTTAGCTGTAAGTCTGCAGGGGGGACAACTAGCAAACACTGAATATTTTGGTTATTTCTCATGATTAAGAGACTGCGTTTCCAAATTATATACTTTTTCCAGAAGGTTTGATTTGGTTTCTGAAGGTCAGTGCAATATCACAGAGCAGTTTAAATTAAAAAAAAGAAAAAAACCCCACACCTAACACCCCCCACCCCCCCCAACAAGTCCCTTACCTGTGGCAGAGTGAAGACTCTCCAAGCTCCAGTATCTGGACAGGACGCCTCTCATCCCACCACCACCACACACCACCCCACTGCTGTCTGAATCCGAACCCGGTGAGAGCCCGGAGCTTCCACTGCTACTGCAGTTTTCTCCACTGTGTGCCCCACTGGACTCACTGGGGCACTGCTGGGTCCTCATGCAGGCAGGTAAGAGGGAGAGCCAGGGGCTCTGCTCTGCTGCGGGAGGAAATGGGCAAAGCGCTCTGTAGCTGCTCCCAGGGTAGTGGTACCTGGCAGTGCTGTCTGAGGACTGAGCTGGATTCCTATCCTCCTCTCTGCTTGTCTCGATGCATCCTGACATCATAGGGGTCCACTAAGGAGGCTCCCTCTGTGGCAGCTCAATTGCTCTCAGCTGCAGCTTCTAGCAGCTGATTTTTATTAAAGCTGATTTCAAGGCATTAAAAAAGCAAGGGTGGGACAGAGATCTTCCCTCCTAATTTAGCAGAACTGTTAGATTAAAAAATAAGTAAGTGGGAATAGTAGAATTTCATGCATTTTAAAAATGCCCAAGTGAGAAAGACCTTGTGTTATCTGCTTCCCCAGAGAACTCAGAAAGGACTTAACATATAAACTAATCATGCTTAGAACTGGCTGTGGCTGCTGCTATTAAAAACTATTTTTGTAAGTCGTCAGAAAAAGAATTCAAAATGAAATCAAAGCCAGAAAAACATGGATTGAGATTTGGGGAGGTTGCAGCTGGGAGCTTTGAAAAATCATTTAGCATCCATTCCCAGACTGTAGACCTGGGATGGTCCCTATTTCAGTGTGTGACCTTTGCAAGAGACCTCAGTCCCAAGTGAAACAGCATCACTAACTACTTTCTAATTTAAAAGTTTTATATTCTCATTACCTAACATGCGATTCATTGTGCCCCTATAAAAAGAATTCTAAAAGAATACTAGTTTCCTGAAAACGCAGGAATTCCTGTACTGTTTAACAGCAGCTTTGAGACACCACAGGGGTTTTATGATAAAGGACATTTCCAGACTGCCACTCTGCTAACACACCTGCCTTACAATGGCAGATTGTCAAATTATCAAAATAATTTAAGAGTAGCCACATGGTTTGTACCGTGTGCAGCAGAAAACATTATAAAACTTCTTATGCTAGTTACCAGAATAAGTGTAAGACCAGAACTAGATTGCCTCAGTGTGAGATTATCCAGGTCAGCTCAAAGTTAGCCAGGTGAGACTCTGTAGCTAGGGGTTTGGACTGAAGTAAATGAGGAGTTCAGCTCCACTAGCACAGGTGGGAGGGTGACAGCCGCCCATAGGTGGGACACAAAGGAGCATGCTGGGAAATATCAACCTGCTCCTACCATTTACAAAATGAAACTGTGTCTAGACACCCAAACCCAAAACTAGGAGCTTAATTTCACACAAGAATTGAAAATGCTTGTTTTACTATTTCTGTGTAAGGTAATTCTGTCCAAAGTAAATAAAGCCATGTTATTATATGGCCATCACAGCCTGCCCTGACAGAGAGACCCCTTTGGCTTTGCCTCACTATCTGTGCAATAGCAGGGTTATTTTATTTCAGTAAGACTTCTGTTTTTCTGAGTATTTCCTAAAAGAAAAAACCTTTGCCCTCCATTGCTGCAGGCTACTACAAAGCATCCAACAATGCTGAACCAACTTTTGAGTCCTTAAATATTTCAGCTATTCTTTACAAGAAAGGTCTCTGCAGTAGTAGCAAAAATAACATTTCTACAGTGGCCCATAACAAAAAAAAATCCTTCAATTATCTTCTGAATGTAGCTACTTAGACCAAAATATCTTCCTCTAATGCCTCCCAGTACAGAAATGGGAATGTATTCTCGATTTGACTGCAGCAGAACCACTCTTCTGCATTGATCTGGTCCTTCCAGGACCTCCTAGAACTGCCTGCATTAAAGTACAAATGGAGAGAAACACTTCTTGATCATAATAATGGGGGAGAAGGCAAGTTAAGCATTAACAACAAAGATGAATGCAGCTGTTCTGTGGATATGGAGCACAGGGCACTGGGAAGAGGAAGGGACAGTGTAGCTCTTCAGACACGAAAGGTGCTAAGGAGAGGCTACAATTCAGTCCTAATTAACCTACCCCTGCTTCTTGAAATCCATGCTTGGTACATGAGAAGTGAGGAAACTCCATGTACCTGTATCTCCTTGACTGAACTACTAAACCCGACATTATTTACAGAAGCTCTGTAGCAACTGCCCTTGCTTGGGAGATCTCTGCCCTCAACCTGCTTAAATCACTCCATCTGTTCCTCTGCTAACCCTCCTGCTCTCTGGACTGAATACTCTTGGCAAATACCAAAAGATGTTTATTCAGTGCCAGAGACAACAGTGCTGTAATCCTAGCTAAAGGTGCTACAGAGGTATGCATATTATATGTATGTACTGGATAGGCATTTTCGAATAGAATGGAAAGAGAGGAAAAATACTACAAAGCCAGGTTGTGGAAAGCACAATATTATATCAGAGTTCAAAACTGCAACCCATCACATAGGGGTTCCACCTGACTACAGATTTTTTTTTCTTCTTTTTTCTTTGTTAAATCTACATAGCGATTTTCTTCTGTGACACTAGAGAGAGAAATTAGTTGCTGTAGCAGTAACTGACTCCAACTACAGATTAAGGATCTCACTGCACAGCCTGATCAAGGTAGTCAAGCTAACCTAAGCCTTGGACAGCCTGATCCTAAATATCTACTGGATTTTTTAGTCTCTATTGGGTTCTCCTGTAGTCTCGTAGCTTTGAACAGTGATTGCCAGAATCATTCAGGATTTGTTAGGATCTTCTTTTTCACTCTTTGCCCCATGGAAAGTTTTTATTGGTATGCTAAATCTTTCACCTCAGTAGCTAATATACAATCCCACTCAACCTGCTAAGGCAATTTTTCAGGAACTCAGCCATCACTTGGCCCAGCTTCTAAGGATGGATGAAAATCTTTGAGTGATCACATGTTATCAGAGACCTCACAGAGCGCAAACATTTGTGGCTGTGGTTAAACAGAATCAAGATTGACATAGCAGGTCTAATCTTTCTGTGATTCAGAGACAAAGTGAAAAATACAGTAGGCAACATGATTGCTTTTTAGCCATTTAAATTCAATGGTACTTCCATGGTTTAATGAGGATGGAATGGACATTTCATGCTACAGCTACAATGATACACTTCTGAGGACTCGCATACCACTTTTTTCTGTATCCCTTCAAGAACTAAAATGACAAAAATGGAATAAATAGCTCAGCTTGTTATTTTGCTGAACTACAGGACTGCTAAATATTTATAAGACATAATGAAGTCCTGTTATTAAGCTAATATTTTCTCTCTTGAATAGATTTCTCCAGTGGCTGTTAAACATCTTCACATTAACTGTTGCCAAGTGTGAGCTTAACAGCCCATCTATAGCTGGGAAAAGAAGATGAAAGTTGGCCACATGATGTTGAGTAAACAAACAGTCCCTTTGCCTCTGAGAAATACTTTCCGCTATACCAGTGAGGCCAGAGGATAGCTCAGTATCACTAAGTGGTCACTGTTTTCCAGACTATCCACAAAAGATTCAGACTTTGAGAATTTGGCTTGCCTATTCTTATTGCTTATGCAAGATTTCCAAGGCCACCAGTATGTTCACCATCAGTACACATCAGTCAGAATGAATTCATGCCTCTTTGGTTGGCATAACCAACACCAGCACTGTGGTGGAACTCCTGGGCATCTCTTGTAGATATCTGACAGCAGGAAATGTAAAAATCTTAGGCTGTTTAAAATCTGACAAAACACAAGGAAAATTGCCAAAAAGATTCAGTCTGCATTTAAATAATGATTTTAAATAATACAGGTTTAAGATTTGTTATAGCACAGCTACAGACCTGATCTTGTAATACACTAGTTACAAGTTTCTCCCTCTATGAGGATATGACAAACCCTGGAGGTTTACAGTCATATGTGTGACCCTATCCAAAAGTTTACAGATTCTCTGAAAGGTAGCATGGGGGAAACATCTGGGAGAAGGTAATGAGAGCAGGCATAAGAGGAGAAAAGTCTATAGCTGAGAAGCACAGAAAGCACTGAGAGCAGGGACTTCAAGGAACTACACCTCCAACTCTCAATTACCCGTGTCTGTCTGTCACTGTGTTACCTTGTGATTGTCTCCTGCTGAAAAGTCCCTACGGAAAAGCTCAGAGATGGCAGCACCTCCCCAGAAAGTTCCCTCTGCTCTAGATTTGTGGGCTAGTAGTTCCCATGCCCAGAACTGCTCATCTCCTAGCTTCAGCTCAGTCATAGCTACATTCTCACAGCTGCATCCACTGTCCATCAAACAGCTTCCCAGCGACATCCCCAATTTTAAGCAACGTCTTCAGGTTACAAATAAAGAGATATCAGACTCAGGAGAGAGAAAAGGAAGGAGAGGATAAGTAAGATAGCCTAAAGACAAACATGCTGGTCCACTGCTTTAACCCAAAGCCTTGTTATCCTACCACTGCTCTCTCCAGTACGTTTTGGGCCTGTCCCTCTCACCCCTTTCCTGGGTGATTCCTGGGTCACATGATCTCTCAAGATCTTCAGAGGCTGCCAAAAAGCAGAAAAGCATTCCCATATCTACATTAGGAAGTGGCTTGTTTCCTACGCTGGTCTTTCACTCTAGCTCAGCCTATTCAAACACTGCAGTAAACCAGGCAGTAAGCAACAGATACATACTGCAAGGTACAAATGAAGACATGGGCATAACCAGACAACTAAAGGGGAAAGACACTTGATATTCATCAATACTACCTGCCAAAGTGTGTGGTGCAGCCAAGAAGGTCCTTCCAAAGTGTTCAAACATTCCTGATGTTTGAACTGGACAGTTAACTGCTAACCTCAGGGGTGCATGTGTGTGATTGTGTGTGTGCGCAAGTGTCCAGGTGCTCTATACTTCTCTGGAGGAGGCTCAAGACTCATTCAATCTTTGCTAAATATAGATTAGCACCACCTCAGCTGCTTTTTATTTCACAGATGTTAGAGCCATCTACTGGTTCCTTACAATTTTCTCAAGTGGTTGGTCTGGACACAAGAGGTGATAGGAAGGCAGTCTGCAAAACTTGATCAGTGACCAAGAGCACTACAGTATGCCTGATCCCAACTGCTGGGATATCCAAATGACAGGT